GCGAGATCTGTCATCAGTGTTCTGTTCAGCATATATGTTACAGCCAGATGGTGATTGTGAAATGACTAACAATTTCAGTCATTTCGTGAAATAACTAAGAGGGTCAGCCATTCAACTATCCCCACTGCTCGTTCTCTTTCTTCCTGTGTTAACCTTGGCATTCTCTCTGTGTGACTTTATGTGCAGTGATATTGCAAGGTTGGACAGGCCATTTATACTGATTTTTCACACGATCTTTCCCATGTATTCGACTAAGACGTGTGTTTCATGTATCTGAGAGTCGGGGCCACAAAATGCATTCTAGCAATTTGTTTCCTGCATCACGTTCATTGGCAATCGTTATCAAGCATATTTACATCAAATTTGATGGAAACGTCCAAACCTATTTATATAGCCAATAGCGAAATGGCTGATCCTCTCAGACATTTCATGAAATGTCTGAAATTTTTAGTCTTTTCACAAAATGACTGATTTCACACAATCTGACTGTAACATATACACTGTCATCTGTATTCAGCACATACATTAGTAGCACACCATTAATATGGTGTCATGGTCTAACCAACATCAAGACAAAACACCCATTCACTTACAGAATTTTTATTAAAATTCCTCAACAAGCTTTTTCAGATTGTTTGAATGTTTTTAATTTTTTAACAAAATCTATCAATATACTGTTACTGATCTGTTTTCGTACATAAGCTTGTACAAATGTGACAGTTTATCTAAAATCGGAGGTGAACCAAGCATGGCTGTCGTTAGCAGCGGACTGAATCCAAGCGGTACAAGAAGCTTGAATGGTTTGTGTTCAGATCAACAAAAGATTGTACATTCACTGCATGTCTTGAATAGCTACAAAATACAATCTGTATATTATCAGCAGTAATCTGTTGTGACACGACTGTATAATTACTGACTCACAAAACAATAGATACACAATCAGCCAGTGGGCAACCTCAGCCTTGTTGACAGTTCACTACTGACCTATGGGATAAATACATTGTAAACAATCAGCCAATCAGCCAGCAGCACCAAGCATGTGACAGAACACAAGTACCAATGAGGAAGCACACTGACACATTTCTGCCAATCAGAAGCACTCATGCTGTGAGTGACCTCTATTGACCTGCTATAACTGTCCATATATGACATGGCAAAACATTCAGCCAATCAGCAGCACCCATCCCATGAGTGACAAGACACTATTTGGTAGTTAGATATACAGACAGTAATTAGAGTATACAATGTAAGTAACTATGTTATAAAGCTGTAGCTGTGGTATAAAACATAATCTACACAATGAGCCAGTACTGAGCATGCATTAACAGCAATAGTGTAACCAGACCAATGAAGCATGTGCAAAGATGCAAAACTGTACAGACAAAGGTCATCACGAACCTTGTGTAACAGGACGCTATTTGAACATGAATGACTAAATACACATGAAGTGATAATGAAGAACACAGGAACTGATGATGTCACAACCACACAGGCACATTCAGGTCACTCGCTCACAAAATAGTCTCTAGCACACAAAATCTCTCCCCTTCCTGCCCCACCCCAAACCCTACCCCACCCCTACCCTACAACAAATATCACAAGGACTGTAAACTGACAAGACAGTGGTAGTTATGTGACACTATTCTGGTTTTCAGTTTGTGACTCTGACAAAAATAAGACGACCTTTCATAAATATTTAAATAAATCATTAAAAATATAATAAAATATTAAGTTATTATTTTTAATTTATCGTCTATGTCAAAAGATGTGGAACGCCCAAATGAACATGATTTCAATTCCTGCAGCTCTAACTCCCAAATATTTAACAATATGTGAAGAAATGGCAAACAAATAAACAATTTGCAGTGAGCTAGATCCATACTTAAGATCCATGGAAGTATAAAATAACTAGAAGGGGCCCTCACTATCACTTCAGTCATCCGCCCAACATACTCTAAACTCATTCATTTCACTGACGGCAAAGTGATGTGTTTGCAAACATATCATGTAACACTGTACAAGAAAGAAGACTTAGTTACCATGGTTACAGAAATCACTACTTCTAATTAAAGAGTATTGGGATGGTGTGTATATTTCACTGAGGTATGTAGAAAGTGCCGAGCATGTGCAAATGTACACATAACATGGGTGTGTATGCATTTGAATGTGTGAGCATGGCAAATATTTGTCACTGATTTAAAAGTCTTATTTCTATAATGTTTATGTAACTGATCTATCACATAGTACAAAATCAATACATGACTGTTTCTTGTTACCATTCCAAAGGCAAATCAAACTGTTTGTTTTCATGTGTAAGGCTTTTCACAATAGACTCTGTTTGTTGTGAATAAATTGTATACATTGTTTGCTTGTGATAGAAACGTGTGATCTGCAATGGAAGCCTAGCTGTGATAGTGATGTAATACTGATAGTTCTACTGATAGTTCTACTGATATACGTAAATCCCTACTGCCTTGTGTCATACACAACAATCATCAAGCACCACCTTTAACCTAGTACAACTGAATGACATTAAGTCCTACAATAACTCTGTGTAATACCCTGCCACTTTGTTCAACCATATTGCAGGATGTACAACCACGTGGCACCAAGTAATGCCATAAAGCACCAGCTTTAACCTGAGTCTGTGTACAGTCCCTGAACCACATTATTTTCCCTTCAACCACCATCTGCAGGTAAAGCCCAGTAAATACTAAAGCAAGTCTAGATTTCTCTGGCACCTGTATGGGCTAATGCAATTTAAAGCACATGTTGTTACTATTAATATATATTGTGACTGTGTAAGCATTAGTCTACTACCTGTGTAACCTTGTGTACTACTTCTTGGTATCAAGTACTTCAATAACATTGTGTAATACCCTGCCACTTTGTTCAACCATGTTGTAGGATGAACAACCATTTGCCACCATGTAAAGCCAAACAGTATCATGTTGTACTACCATGTTGTCCTGTTGTGTATGTCATGTATCATGTTGTGTCATTGTGTACTTCCATGTTGTGTCCTGTTGTATTATGTGATAATGTGTAACAATGTGGCATGTGTGTACTACCATGTTGTGTCCTGTTGTATTATGTGATAATGTGTAACAATGTGTCATTGTGTACTACCATGTTGTGTCCTGTTGTATTATGTGATAATGTGTAACAATGTGGCATTGTGTACTTCCATGTGTGTCCTGTTGTATTATGTGATATGTGTAATGTGTAATGATGTGTCATTGTGTACTACCATGTTGTGTCCTGTTGTATTATTGTGTAACAATGTGTCATTGTCCATGTTGTGTCCTGTTGTATTATGTGATAATGTGTAACAATGTGTCATTGTGTACTACCATGTTGTGTCCTGTTGTATTATGTGATGTGTAACAATGTGTCATTGTGTACTACCATGTTGTGTCCTGTTGTATTATGTGATAATGTGTAACAATGTGTCATTGTGTACTACCATGTTGTGTCCTGTTGTATTATGTGATAATGTGTAACAATGTGTCATTGTGTACTACCATGTTGTGTCCTGTTGTATTATGTGATAATGTGTAACAATGTGTCATTGTGTACTACCATGTTGTGTCCTGTTGTATTATGTGATAATGTGTAACAATGTGTCATTGTGTACTACCATGTTGTGTCCTGTTGTATTATGTGATAATGTGTAACAATGTGTCATTGTGTACTACCATGTTGTGTCCTGTGTCCTGTGTGATAATGTGTAACAATGTGTCCATTGTGTACTACAATGTGTCATTGTGTACTACCATGTTGTGTCCTGTTGTATTATGTGATAATGTGTAACAATGTGTCATTGTGTACTACCATGTTGTGTCCTGTTGTATTATGTGATAATGATAACAATGTGGTATTGTGTACTACCATGTTGTGTCCTGTTGTATTATGTGATGATAATGTGTAACAATGTGGCATTGTGTACTACTACCATGTTGTGTCCTGTTGTATTATGTGATAATGTGTAACAATGTGTCATTGTGTACTACCATGTTGTGTCCTGTTGTATTATGTGATAATGTGTAACAATGTGTCATTGTGTACTACCATGTTGTGTCCTGTTGTATTATGTGATAATGTGTAACAATGTGGCATTGTGTACTACCATGTTGTGTCCTGTTGTATTATGTGATAATGTGTAACAATGTGTCATTGTGTACTACCATGTTGTGTCCTGGTGTATTATGTGATAATGTGTAACAATGTGGCATTGTGTACTACCATGTTGTGTCCTGTTGTATTATGTGATAATGTGTAACAATGGGTCATTGTGTACTACTACCATGTTGTGTCCTGTTGTATTATGTGATAATGTGTAACAATGTGGCATTGTGTACTACCATGTTGTATTATGTGATAATGTGTAACAATGTGTCATTGTCTACTACCATGTTGTTATGCACTACCATATGGCATGTGCAACAAAGCAGCACCATGATACTACCATGTGACACAATGTATAACTATGCAAGCATTCAGCATCATGTGCTACCTCTTGACAAATAATGCTACTAAGTGGGATGTTCTTGTTTAGTATTGTGTGCAACATTGTTGCAACAAGTGGTTACTTTAGGTAATGCCAAGTGTTGTCCCAAGTGCTGAAGCCATGTGACCATGGGTCAAGCCATGACACATTATGTCAATGTTCATCACACATTTTCTTGCAGTGTGTAAATGCTCAATTTTATTGATGAGTTAAGAAAGGGACTCTGAACACAAGTCTGATCTTGGAGATTCAATCCAATGTAAGCTGTCAAAGTAGTTGATAGATAATACTTTAACAGTGAGATTAAAGCAACAGTCTTCACTTCCTTAAAACAATACCACAATTTTCAGAACACCACCTTTAAATGAGTTTGACAATATAAGATCAGCCTAAACCAGAAATTATTTTTAATGCCTTTCAAGAAAAAGAAACTGAAATGTGATCACTTGATATTAAATTGAAAAAAATAATTTTTCAAGACAATGTTTTCTTGCATACCAATTTTGCACATTTCTAGTGTCATAGATGAGTTTTAAAGTATTTATATAATTTTCACCACTATCTGACTTCTTATGCCATGTGGAATCTGTCCTGACAGTGGGTATTGTCTAGAACTGTCTTGACATACTGACTGACAACTCTACCCTTTAAAACTAAATGCAACTGTACCCTTTAAAATGAAATGCAGCTGAACAGTGTATACATCAGAGTAATCAAACAATTTTCTCACGGACTCCACCTATTGTCTGATGTTTGGTTCTACAGATGTTTCATACACATAATCATGATAATGGCTTATATGAGGTAAGGCTGTCTTCAATGTGAGATGTATATCATCATTTCACAACACACAAAATTATCAATAACCTCTTGTTCCAGTTCTGTAGATGTACAATCTGATTTTTCTAATCCACTAATCCATCAAAGAACAGCTGGAAAATATTAGTTTCCTTACACATGTTAATGTTCTGGGTATTTTTCTGCTTCAGTCAGTCAAAACTAGCCAGTAAGCAGCTGAGAAGTACCATCAGTTGGCAATACGAGTACTGCACCCCTGACCTTCTCACACAGGTGATATACGATATATTACACACAGCAATATAATGCAATGATACAGTTTCTGAAGAGATTCCAGTAAACAAGTCCAGTGTGTTGTGGAGTTCAAGCAGGTGCTTGTTGAGTGACAGCAGCTTGTGCCAGTTGCAACCATCTAGTAGGATGTGTACTGTCTGCCATCACAATAAACTTGGTAACATGTAAGCCATATATCCGTCTTGGGTCACATTCACATCTAGTTGGTGGTGTGATGCAGCAAGCATGCTGTAAGTGTGTGTAGCAATACCTCTGCCTTTGTTCCATGCATAACAAGTGATCTTACACAACTGCCATATCGCAGGTGGAGTGAGTGGTGATACCACGGATCTGCCCAGTGCTGTAACTGAAGTGACATGACATGTGGTAGTAGGTGATAACCATCATAACTTCCCATCATGTCCCACAGTTGAGGTGGGGATTATATCATGCTATAAACTGCCACTCATGCCATGAACTGCACACCACACATTCTACTGGGATAACCATGCTGACAGACATACATGGAGAGTTAAAGATTAAAATGATAATAGTCATAACTAACAAAATATATTTGTACTGTGTTATCTGTACATCTACGTGTACATATTGTTTGAATTAATTATGTATAATTAACAACTGCTGTCACAATCATGCTACAATTTATGATTTTAGATCCACAATGTAAGTCTATCTACAAGTCTTGCATTGTCTTTGGCAGGATAGAAAGAGAGAAGGTCCTAACATGGTCTATTGGGGCTTTTACACTGTCAACCACACCTGGCACAGATCACTTCAGCTAGGTACGCAGGTGCTACTCAACCACACACCTGTCACAGATCACCTGTACATACCTTCAGCTAGGTACACAGGTGCTTCTTGCTTCAGTGAACCACCACACACCACTCAGATCACCTGTGTATACCTTCAGCTAGGTACACAGGTGCTACTTAAGTCAGTGGTCCACCACACACTTGTCATAGATCACCTGTATATACCTTCAGCTGGGCACACAGGTGCTACTTGCTTCAGTGCACCACCACACACCTGTATCAGATCACCTGTATATACCTTCAGCTAGGTACACAGGTGCTTCTTGCTTCAGTGCACCACCACACACCTGTCACAGATCACCTGTATATACCTTCAGCTAGGTACACAGGTGCTGCTTGCTTCAGTGCACCACCACACACCTGTATACCTTCAGATCACCTGTATATACCTTCAGCTAGGTACACAGGTGCTACTTGCTTCAGTGCACCACCACACACCTGTCACAGATCACCTGTGTATACCTTCAGCTGGGTACACAGGTGCTACTTAAGTCAGTGGTCCACCACACACTTGTCATAGATCACCTGTGTATACCTTCAGCTAGGTACACAGGTGCTACCTAAGTCAGTGCACCACCACACACCTGTCACAGATCACCTGTGTATACCTTCAGCTGGGCACACAGGTGCTACTTAAGTCAGTGGTCCACCACACACCTGTCACAGATCACCTGTATATACCTTCAGCTGGGTACACAGGTGCTACTCCACCACACACTTGTCACAGATCACCTGTATATACCTTCAGCTGAGCACACAGGTGCTACTTGCTTCAGTGCACCACCACACACCTGTATCAGATCACCTGTATATACCTTCAGCTGGGCACACAGGTGCTACTCCACCACACACCTGTATCAGATCACCTGTATATACCTTCAGCTGGGTACACAGGTGCTACTCCACCACACACCTGTCACAGATCACCTGTACCGGTATATACCTTCATCTGGGCACACAAGTGCTACTAGAGTCAGTGGTCCACCACACACACACAGGGTTGTCTCTACATTATAGCCTAGTTAAATCAAATGTGGCTCTGTCAACACAATACATCTTGTGACATAGTGATTCACAGTTCCAGCTGCTTTATCAGAGAGTGACTTAAGGCACAGTAGAAAGAAGATCCTGCACACTGGAAGCCAAAGAGATATAAAGGGCCAATATACAAGTAATCACATCAACAGAATAAATCAACATTCAACAAAGAGTAATGAAAATGAGCAAATCATATGCAAAAGTACGAAAAAATGTCAAAGACAAATTTCACTTTCTCTGAATGCGCACTAGGTTTCAGGCAGGTCATGTATTGTACAGATAAGTATTTGAAACCATGGTTACATGGTAACACGAGAGATATGTGTATCTAATCATGGTTACACAGCGATGTCATACAGGTAAGAGTAGGTAACCATGGTTACATGATGGTACATCTTGAGCTAGCTACCTCTCTATGAAGGTACTATTGACTTCCTGTTGGCATGCCACAATCTCCGACTGGATATATACAAATGGTGGTATATATTACAAAGTCTGTTTTCTGGCCAATTAATATCAGTACTGGTCTTCTAGAATACATATGACTAACATCATAATTATTTAGAAATTACTTTCAAATAATCAGTGTAAGCTCTAACTGGTATCTAAAACAAAATGCTGAGATGCATCAAAACTATAATTATTACAGACTTTGTAAAATTTCAACATTTAAAAAATAGCAAAACATCAAAAATGCTGGATTCCATATCTAAACTAAGGCCAGGGACAATCCAATAAGTTAAAATTTGATTAATAAAACACAATAACGGTAAAGCGAATCATAATCATATGTGCTCCCGATCACAAATACAATCTTGACCAATCAGAACTGTCACGTCAATCCATCTGTCCATCATGACACAATGTCTCCTGTATAGTAGCGTACCCTTCTGACTTCTACAAATACAGCATGTTATCAAATGTGATAGTTACAGCTCCATTTCAAATACAAACACCTTCCATTGTAAATAGTCCATCCAGAATAACCAATACATCAACTTGTCACAAGTCACTTTGAATTTTGGCTTTAGGTGAGCACACACTTCAGATGGCCATCTATGTTTAATATCCACCCGAAATGAGCATCGTCCTTGACAGTGCCAAGGTCACTGCAGCATCAGAGATCGGAGGTTATCATGCAGAATCGTGTCCTTCACATCTTGAAACACATGCTTGATGTTTTCTGTATCAATTGCCGTTGTGAAGTGGTGAAAGAGAGGCTTGCTGCGTTCTCGCCTACGGGAGTCGAACATGTTGAGCAGGAAGGCCTTGACATCTGCTATGGAGTGAGGGTCACCTTGAAACTCGGAAACATATTCCTTAATGCTTACATGTTTAACCTTCTCAGTGAGGAGGTCCATTTTGTTGAGAAAGAGAATAATAGACACATTGCAGAAGGACTTGTTGTTGATGATTGTCTCGAATATGTTACAGGACTCGATGAGGCGATTGGTCTTGCGATCCTCCATAAGGACTTGGTCAAACTCGCTCGACGATGCAAGAAACAAGATGGAGGTGATACCCTCAAAACACTGAAACCATTTCTGGCGTTGTGACCTCTGACCTCCAACATCAATGAACATAAAGGGGATGCCTTTAATCAGAATCTGGTGTTCGTTGATACCTTTGGTGGCCTTCCGGGCATGCAGGATATCCAGCTTGATTGGAATGAAGTTCTGAAAACACAAACATAATATAATAACACATATAGGTTTTGATTGTTTGATTGTATGGTGCTTTTTCATGCTCAAGACTGAACTGTGAGCAGTGAGTATGCTTTGTTTAACATCACTTCATATACAGTAGATAAGCCGAATTTCGAGGACAAAAACTAGATCATAAACATAGGTCCAGATGTGCAAAGAACATGTTTTATTACTAAATAGTGTAACAACAGGATTATCTTCAGTAATCCAGTATCAATTTGTTGATACTCTATTTCCGATGACTGATCATGACGAGAAGATGAACGAAGGTTGGTGCTTCTGCTTATATACAGGACATACCAATCTGATGCTGATATTATGGGTCAAGTTAGGACCTCAGCTTATCAATGAGATCAGCTTATCTACAATAATATACAGATACTAGTTAAACCACAGCATGTCAGCTTAATTATCAAAATACTATCGTCCACTGAAAATACTAAAGATTAGTTCTGTGTGATTGCAGACAAAATACAGGATCAATTGCAATGATGTAATAGAGGTTGAGGATTCGTCAGAAACACAGGTTCCTGGAACACATAAGGGAAGCAACTCTGCCAAGGATGACTGGACCACCTGGACATACAGTTGAATTGAAAGTAGTTTGAAAGAACTTACCTTCTGACTGATCCTGTCCAAATTATTCAAGAAATACATCAAAGAATCACCCTGAAAAAAAAAAAAAAGAAAGTTTAAAATAATTATACTCCCAGCACACATAACAACTCCTAAGCCGTGTATACTCTTCAATAAAACCATTATCCACTTAATTTTCATTTACGTGGCATTCAATTACCAATGACAAATACTAAAAATCCAATAGCATAACACTGTACTTTACCAATTGTTGCCTTTTCAGCATAACGACCTGTATTTATTGGGGGGCGGGGGACAAAATTACCCAATAGAAGGAGTGATTGTGTTGGGTTTAAAGCTGCTTTGAACACTATGCCAGCTATATCAGGGCAGGTCAGTTCTGGGAGGCCACAAACAGAGTGTTTCAGTAAACTTTATAAGACATAACAAATGACACTATTAGAGTTGCTTGCCACTGTAGATCTGTCCATGTTCTTTTATATTGAAAAAATATTTAAAATCTGAAAACATGTATGTTGACAGATTCTATTTATGTGCATTTCTAGACTGCAAGAGGTATCAAAATTAGCACCCAAATTTCACAACTGTGTGCATGGCTGAATAACACATTTGCCAATGCTGACATTCTGGGGGTGATATATGGCTGCTTTTAAACATAAAACCGACCACCCAGCACCTATTCCTCATCAAACTGCAATGAATCGCTCCATCATAGCACTGACAGTAACATAAGCATTTTTAAGGACATAGATTCAAACCCGTAACATATTTTCCAAACATCAACACAAGAAACTGATTTTGCGTATGTGAAGAACTGAATTGGCATATTTGACGTAGTTACACAAAAAGCTCATACAGCATTAAGCTGCAGTGGTACAGGAAGTGTGAGTGCAGGAAGTGAGTGTACTTTGATCTATGGCTAAAGAAGGTTGCATGGTTATGTAAGTCACAGGGGATCTCTACACATGTGTTATTTCACACCGCCTGGGTAAATAACGCTGGACATACAGCAGTTATTGACCGGAGAGGAACACCATCAGCTTATGACCTATATACTGGAGTCTATGATGATGTTTGATGATAAAGGTTAAAGAGTTTTGAAAATGTAAAAATTTGTCTTTTCTCATATCAACAGGAAATACATTCACTGAGGTTACCATGGTTACATACAGGCAGTTTTAAATATACATCCTGTAATCTGTCTACTGCAAGGAAGTAATTTAGTTGGTTTGAGCGTGTTGATCTGGCATTTAGCCATTTCCAACCTGTTTAGGCCAACCATTTCCATTTAGCATGAAGTTTTGCAAATTTAATGAAAATAATCTCATTTTTTCAAAAACTTAAAACATTTACATGTAGGATATCATCTTTTCAGGAGAACATATACTTGCTGACCATTCTTGCGCACCTCTTTCCTGACAACACACAGACAAAAGGTCACATGGTACAAATTCACTTATACATGCCTTATACAAGAAACCAAAAACTGAACAAACAACAAATCGCCCCTTCCAGCCACGGGACACAAGAAAATGGGCTAGTATTAACTTTATGTTTTGAAACAATCCTTCAGTTGCAGGTAAAGACTGATTGCAAATACACTAGCCACAGATCTGTACAAGTATGTAAATTGATCTGGCCTTACAGAGTACAGCCACACAATGGTGGTGAGTTGACAGCCCTCTAACCATTGCAGTAATACTGACAGAAGCTGTCGACACTCTGCAGCCAATGTACACACAGCAAATGGAGGTTGTTTGCCATGTGTCTCCTATATCAACATGGTCTTGACAGAAGAATATCATTTTCCAGTCGTCATGGCCCCACTGATGCAGGAAGCAGATTTCAAATTCATCACACATCATAAAATACTTTAAACAACTTTTGTACTTTCCCAGCACCAGATATAAGGGAAATATCTTCCTGGTCAGCAAATACAGACAAAATTCACACACCAACTCCCTGACCAGCAATGTCCTGCACAACCAGGGCCCCGTTTCACAAAGCTCTCGTAAGCCTAAGGTCTCGTAATTTATCTCGTAGCATTCGCACCTCCTATGTTACAGTATAGGAGATATGACTGCTAGTGCTACGACAAAAATTACGAGATCTTAGGCTTACGAGAACTTTGTGAAACGGGGCCCAGCATCGTTTCCATGACCTCTTTGTCAATCTCCTTTGGTTAATTATTGCATAGCATATCCTGCTGTCATGACTCAACATAATAAAAATACATGTATATCACTTTGATGCATAACTTTCCAGACTTATTTCCGGTGATGTTACTGTGCTGCACTCAGTGCCAATCAACAGCTTTTCACAGATCTTCACAGATCTTCGCAGATGAACATGAGACTGGTGTGAAGTATCTGACAAACGAATCTATTTGTAACTTCCTTCAGTGTGTTTCATCCTCCAACAGTGACATATGAAACAAGTTTCAAACCACATCAAGCAACCATTCAGTTACCTACTATATGTTGTAGCATACGTAACTGTTTAAGCAGGGTTTGAAGTAAAAATAAGTCTGTGAGACCAAGACATTGTAAACTTCCTTGTGGACAATTTCTTTACCATTAGGTAGATAGCAGCTCAGTAACTGTTGTTGTTAGTGAAAATAACATTTAATTCCTCAGCCTGTTACATGTATCTCATATCCAGAGAGGCAGTTGTACAATAATGAGTGGGTGAGTGAGTGAGTTTAGTTTTACGCCGCACTCAGCAATATTCCAGCTATATGGAGGCAGTCTGTAAATAATCGAGTCTGGATCAGACAATCCAGTGATCAACAGCATGAGCATCAATCTGTGCAATTGGGAACCGATGACATGTGTCAACCAAGTCAGCGAGCCTGACCAACCAATCCCGTTAGTCGCCTCTTACGACAAGCATGTGTTACTGAAGATCAATTCTGACCCGGAAATTCATGGGTCCAATAATGAGATATAGGGGTGTCTACCAAAAAGGGGAATATGAAAGCCAATACAAACTGCAACATCTGATTAGCTCTGTGCTCATTTACCATAATTCCAAATACCATAGCTGCTAACATTATTCCCATAACATTAGATGATGACTCCCCAACAATCAGGTCTTGCAAAGACACAGCAGGTTCCATAACATTAGATGATGACTCCCCAACCATCAGGTCTTGCAAAAACACAGCAGGTTCCATAACATTAGATGATGACTCCCCAACCATCAGGTCTTGCAAAGACACAGCAGGTTCCATAACATTAGATGATGACTCCCCAACAATCAGGTCTTGCTAATACACAGCAGGTTCCATAACATTAGATGATGACTCCCCAACCATCAGGTCTTGCAAATACACAGCAGGTTCCATAACATTAGATGATGACTCCCCAACCATCAGGTCTTGCAAATACACAGCAGGTTCCATAACATTAGATGATGACTCCCCAACCATCAGGTCTTGCAAAGACACAGCAGGTTCCATAACATTAGATGATGACTCCCCAACCATCAGGTCTTGCTAATACACACCAGGTTCCATAACATTAGATGATGACTCCCCAACCATCAGGTCTTGCAAATACACAGCAGGTTCCATAACATTAGATGATGACTCCCCAACCATCAGGTCTTGCAAATACACACCAGGTTCCATAACATTAGATGATGACTCCCCAACCATCAGGTCTTGCAAAGACACAGCAGGTTAACAGTAGTTATAAGCACAGCCCAGTGATACGAAACTAAAAATACGAAACTAAAAAATAATCACTCCTGCTTTGTCTGTTACTTCTGTCACTTGAGGTTCATACATTTCATTATAAGGTTTATAGCTATACAGGTTCATATAACAATACTTTGTGTTGATCTGTAGCGCGAGATTATGGCTGGATGTATTGCATTAATACTTTTGTTTCAAATTTTATTAAAAGTTTTCAACTGAAGTATCACTGTTTGTGCTTAATAACGTAGGTTTTACAAACTGTGTGTTTCATGTACATGCTATGGTATTCAAAATGGTATACAAATGCTATGGTATATAAATGTAGAGAATGGATGCAGAAAATCAATTCTCTGCGTCCAGAGAGACGCAAAATATTATTCATTGTACCGACAACACATCTATGGCTTTGCTGCTAAGTGTTTGGTTGTTTCTTTAAGAGCAGTTACGTGTTTCATTTCATCCATCAGTCCACATGATCCAGGACTCATTCCAAGCTTTAAAGAAATTATCAAATGGCACATATCTCTACACTGTTACTTCACAGGACCCTCATATTGTAATCAAGGACCCTTAAAACTAATAATTGGGGGTCCCCAGGATCCCCATGTTTGTGAGTCAAGGTAAAACCCTGGTATTACTAGTTCCCATTCCAAACAAGCCCTTATCCTGTATCACATGTACAGTTAAGCTGTGAGACTACATGTTACTGTATCACTGTTTACTACTTCAAACAACCCGACCTCCTGTAGTATGTACAGTTAAGCTGCGAGAAGTGTACTACATGTTACTGTATCACTGTTTACTACTTCAAACAACCCGACCTCCTGTAGTATGTACAGTTAAGCTGCGAGAAGTGTACTACATGATACTGTATCACAGTTTACTACTTCAAACAACCCGACCTCCTGTAGCATGTACAGTTAAGCTGCGAGAAGTGTACTACATGTTACTGTATCACTGTTTACTACTTCAAACAACCCGACCTCCTGTAGCATGTACAGTTAAGCTGCGAGAAGTGTACTACATGTTACTGTATCACTGTTTACTACTTCAAACAACCCGATCTCCTGTAGCATGTACAGTTAAGCTGCGAGAAGTGTACTACATGATACTGTATCACAGTTTACTACTTCAAACAACCCGACCTCTTGTAGCATGTACAGTTAAGCTGTGAGAAGTGTACTACATGTTACTGTATCACTGTTTACTACTTCAAACAACCCAATCTCCTGTAGCATGCACAGTTAAGCTGAGATAGTGTACTACATGTTACTGTATCACTGTTTACTACTTCAAACAACCCAATCTCCTGTAGCATGTACAGTTAAGCTGAGAGAAGTGTACTACATGTTACTGTATCACTGTTTACTAC